ATAAAAAGACGCGACATAACATAACGGGGGAGTGTTTTCTAAACTCATTTGTAGTGTATATGAATTGATCAACAAAAATTTCTAGAATTGATTTCCAAATTTGGAAATCTCCCTGACTGTAATATGTACTAGTTATTGTACGGGTGTTTAAAAATATCGTGCAAGCTATGACGCAGTCATAGCTTATACGAATTTTTAAATATCCATACAATAACGTTTATATTGTGAAACTGAGCTATGATAATGTTTGCGTAACATGCACTGATATTTTAAACTTTTTTGTTGTTATTAAATTATTTTATATTTTATTCGAATTTCTTCTAATTTAAAGATTATATAATAACAGTAATATGGGTAAAGCTGGAAAAGTTCGTAAAACACATACATATTTTTTTGCCTTAAATTGTATTAGTGCACATATTTTTTTTTTTTTTATTTTTTTCTTTTGTTAGACGTTTATATATTCCGAACCTAGTGACAGTGAATTTGAATACTTTTTAAATAAATCCAAGAGAAAAGGAACAGTCAACTCAACAAAAAATTGGATTAACCATTTAGAAAATTTTAGAAAGGATTGTAATTGTAATTGTAAAATAGAAAATATTGATAATATTAACGATCTAGAAAGGCAACTAATTAATTATATAATTAAAATGAAATGAGATGATGGAAGTGACTATTCGTCAATATCAATTAAAACATTTGTATCTGCTGTAGCAAGACATCTAGCAAATAATAGTGTTATTGACAGGATTGATATTTATAACAAACAGATCATTAAAAAATTGTGGGAAGTTATTGATGGAGTAGATAACAGTATATATATACTGTTATCTACTTACGTTAGACTGTTACCTACTTGTGATTAGACTGCTACCTACTTATGATTATACTGTTACCTAATTATTTTTGGGTACCCGTTTTGGTGCCTATTTGGCTTGATATTTGTTTCCTTTCGATGATGTTTTCGGCTTTCTTTGGCCATTTGATTGCTTTGTTCAGTGACGATTGGCTTGCTATCATGTCGCCTCTCGAGGATCCAGGCACAAAGTGCCGTTTGTGAGGGCTATGACCGAACTGGGTAGCATCCTGCAAATGTTGCATTGATCGAGTAGTCTAATAAATTAACGCAAAAAATAAGTGCACTCGAATTCAACATACAAGGCCAAAATAAGCATTTTCCTGGAGTGGTACTTATAGATGACCGTCAACACATGTTGATGATGGACACGAATGTTACATGGCGGAGTCTGATTTTTATGTGCACTTTTAGTGATCGTTATGGATTTCAATAATGATGGACTTTTGTCAACCCCCAAGACGAAGGTTGGTAAGCAAACTTTTTGAATCGCACTCAGAGCATTCGAATACCAGGTTTGAGGCACGAAGTGCCGAATTGTTATCTTCACTTGGTAATACGTAAAAGCACAAATTTCTTTATCTCTTCCTTATATTATTCTACCTTTACGTATTACCGCGAGTATGCTATGTTTTGGATCTCTAGAAACCTTCCTCGCATAGTCGATACTTTTGGGTATTACCTTTCCATGTTAAAATTCATCCTATGTTTTCTTGTTTTACTATCGAAAAATTTATTCTTACTTTTGCGTATTACTTTGGATCAAAAAATTGGATCATACTTTGACGCATTACCTTTACGTATTACTGGATCGAAAATTTTGAGTATTACCACATTGAAAAATTTATGAGTCGGAGACTCTGGGCTCTGCCCATTGCACTTTTGCGTATTACCTTTATGTATTACCGCATTGAAAAATTTATCACGCTTTTGCATATACTTTGTTCAGAATTATGCGACACAAAAATCCCCTATGTACGGTCCAGGTACCTTGTTATTATTTTCCCGCAATTATTTTTCGATTTGAATTTTTTTTTATACTTTGGGTTACTACCGAATCGAAAAATTTGATAAAAAAGCGAAACCGGGATTATACGTGGACCGAGTAGCTGAGAATTTATTACCTATTTGAATCTAAAAATATATTAAGTTCATAATCTATAGGATTAATCATTTCTTCTATTTCACATTCCGACCAGGGATGCAACCAGTCCTCACTATTAACATGTTTAATACGTTTTAATACATCGCCTCTTTCTCTTCTCCTGATTAATTTATTTTGTAACATGCATTTTTCTACCTCTACTAGTTCATGGTAGAATTTATGACATTCCCCATCTAAAAATCTCATTCTTTCGATGTATTTTTTATAGTCATCTGTATCTCTGTAGTCGCTAAATTGCCTACCCTCTTCTTCCCAACATTGTTCTTTAAGCTGTATCTCCATATATCTTACTGATACTGTTCTCCAATATTGATTTTTAAACTTTTCGCGCCTCATATGCAATTCAAGTTTCACTTCCTTATTCCAAATATGATTAATGCATAAAGCTATACTAAGACTAACCAATGGGAGTTTTTTAACGATTATTGCAATTGTATCCGGAAGCAGAAGTGGGTTATACGAATGCATGTTATAGACGCTTTATAACTAGGTAGGTGAGTGGAACAAAGAGGTATAAATTACATAGAAAATTCAAAACTTTAAATAAAAATCCGTTTGATTGAATTTTTTCGTGCTTTTATTTTCTGTATACAAAGCTATTTACTCAACACAAAACCTTCATTAGAATTCACATTTAAAATCGTCCGAGTTGACAAGATTATATTAGCTAATTATGGAAGAAGTTTCTCAAGGAATATACATACCTGTACGTGGCCCTCCAGAAATAAAACAAGTTAATGTTAAAAAAGGAGACATTTGTAAGATACTGCAAAGTGATTATAGTGATCACATAACAATTTTCGGACCAAAAGGCTTTGATTTGATTTTATTTTGTGACGATGATGGTCAGAGCAAAGGCCTACCTGTAAATCCACTAGCAACTCGTTTGATAAGTCAACGAATAGGGCAAGATGGAATAACTATTCCAGGACCTGCTTTATTATTAGACAATTATAGAAAATTAACTCTTGATGATCTCTGCTTTTTGTTGAAAGAACCATTTGATATAGAGGAGGAAAAAAAAGCTGTAAAAATGATGAATGATGCGCTTAAGGATCTAAAATCGCGTGGCATAAATCATACTATAATAATGTAATCTATATATTAATGATACAATAGAGTATGAGCTGTATCTTTTTTCCTTGCATCTCGTATAGGCTTAATTACCACCATATAACTGCAAGTATCAAAAAAGCGAGAACTGCATACATAAACTTAGGTGAGAATAGATTACTTCCTACAATAGGTATTATTCCAACAGGCAATATCTCGGCCATTTCTGTTTTAATTGTGTGGCTTTGATCATTTCCAGGCCCTTCAGGGGCAACTCTGCGAGTTATGAAATCGGTTTTAGAAACGGTATCTTCCGAAAAATCTTTAATCTCTACTATTTGTGAGGTATCAACATGGCTACCTTCACTGATAGAAGACTTCATATTAGTTGATCTTGAAGAATCAGGTATTTGAGGTTTTGCTTCATTGTTAGCCTTATTTATGGTATCACTGAATTGGTGTACATCAATTCTTTCTGTTTGGTCCATATTTTTTCTATGTTTTAAAAACTTACTAAAATCTGGCTTAGGTTTATCAACTGCAGAGATAACATCGGAATTTGCTATATTTTTTATTGTGGGGGCAATGGTGCTCTGTCCCTCATCACCTCCACCAATTATAGATGAATCAGAGGTTCGAAGCTTTGCTTCTCCCGATGGCAACTCTACCTGATTAGATAAGTTTCGAGATATAGTCACCAATTTCAGATGCTCCAGTTCACTGACTTTAGAAATTAAATCCTCCTTAATTCGTTCCAATTCAGCTAAATTAGATTTGAAAGATGAGATTTTGGATTCTTTTTTTGATGATTCCTTCTGGGATAAATCCAGCTCACCTTTCAACGACTTTATTTTTCCCTGAAGCATTTTTATTTCATTTATTTTTGCAGTAATTTTGGCCTTAGAATCGGCAAGAGAAAGATTTTTCCGAGCATTTTGAGAGATGAGGTTAGTATTTTCACTTCGTAACTGCTTAGCTACATCAGCAATTCCCAAAGCTTGATCACGCAATTTCTGAATCTCATTATTAGTTTTTACCAACTCACGATCCCAACCTTTTCTTTCTAGGGCCCAAGTCTTTCTTTCCCAGTCAAAACTTTTTACCCGACTGGAACATTCGTCCTGCAATGATTTATTGCAATCTTTTAAATTGGAAATAATTTTTGTGGCATAGCGTAGTTCTTCATCTATCACATTCATGTAGTGTGGAAAAAAGAATAAATATTAATATGAGTGCAAGTTCCTCTTTCCGAAAATATATATAATTTTTATCTTTCCGATATATTCTATATATTCTATATTTTTGATATAATCTATATTTCCGACATATTATATAATCCATTTTTTGGCACAGACATACTACTGGTTCACGTCAAATATTCCTCTTTCTGTTATATACATATTCACTATATTTTTGATATAATCAACTTATTCTATATTTTCGATATAATCAAATTTTCCAACTTATTCTATATTTTCAATATAATCTATTTTTCCGATATATTCTACATACTACAAAAAAATATATATCTCATTGCTATGGTTAGAGTGCGTATAAAATCTGATGCACCTTTATTTTCAGCTGAAGATTATTCCTATATTATGGAATGTCGTAATATGGGACCAAAGAATAAAATTTTGGATGACTTGATGGATAAGTATAAAACATCATCAAGACGTATTTATCAGATTTGGAGAGGTGAAGAAACTAAAAGAGTTGCTTGGGATCAACCCATACCTCAATTCTATAATGAAAATGATTTGAATCAAGATAGTTGCGAAACTATTATGAGTAAGAATACTCCTCATATAAAATCTCAGCAGGAAGAAGTAAAGATTCGGAATCAGAGCTTCATTTCTCCCGAAATAGTTTCTAATTCTCATATTGATACATACCAAAATAAAGCCTCTCAAAGGGAGGGTGTCCATGCATCTAGAAAAAGAAGACCGAAATCAAAACCTACTCAAATATCTTCTCCCCTTATTTCTGAAAATATAGATCATATAAATTCAACAGAATCTCGGAGTGATATTTCTTCTGCATATATTTCAGATGTGCACGAATCATTTAGAAGAGAAGTAGAAGGTGCTGAAAAAATATTATTAAAAGCTGGACATAAAAAACCACCTACCTTGTGATATATATAAGAAGACAGGACTTAAGATCGGCTATAACTTCGCTTGCAACCCATATTTCTTTCTCGTACCTCTTGCAATTCACACATTTTTTTTTAACTCAGTATTTGTCTCTTCAGAAATAGATGGAATTGCATTAACATGATGTACCTCAATCTTATTTTCAACCTTGTGCATCGTAACTGGAATGTAAAAATCTTTTCCATTGCAATGAAGCTTCATTTCGGATTTAGGCCAATTCATTATACATTCATGTTTTTCAAGGAAGGGATTACTCAATATAACCATAGACTTGTCATATTCAATGACTGCAAAATCTAAATGAAATACACAACCAGGAGCTAGGGTTAATGGTACGTTATAAACCATTCCAATAGATTTGGTTAGGACAGTGGCCGCCCCCTTGAAATAAAACACCGCACTTTTATCGATTTTTAAACCCAAGCGTTCAGCAATGTCCTTAGACATAAGTAAAGTATTTGAGCCAGGATCGACTGTAATGGCAGAAAGCACTAAACGATTGATTTTACCCCGAACAGTTGGAACATCTATCACATCTTTATCCCGAACAAAGTTAATTTCCATATCTTCGATAACTTCTTCATCCTCGGTATTGCTTTGAGGGTGGACTTCATTTGTGGGATCTTTTGGAGAAAGTGCACTCTGTGCATTAGATTTCTGAAAATTTCGTAAGATTTTATTTATAGTCTCCTCAAATAGAGCAGAATTTACAAGCTCACTTTGAATAATTTCACGAATTCGTCGTTCTAGTAAAGTTGAAGTTGGATTTTGTGATACTCGAGGAGAAGCTTGAATCTCCTTACCCTCTGAAGAATATGCATCTTTCTTGTCTTTGGATCGGGATTGTTTATCGGATGTCTTCTTAATGAGTACTCTAGGTCGATCTATTTTTTTTTAATCCTGGATACATTAACATTGGATTCTTCATCAGGTACATCATCATCAATTCCATCATAACCCTCTTGATCAGAAATAGCGGATTCGTCAGGAATTTCTTCTGTATCAGAGTGGCTTTGTTGGAACCCATCAGCAAAATTCACACGACCGATTTTTTTCTTGGAATTATTAGCCATCATATTCTTAATTATGGGACAACTGCGATAAGTATGTCCCGGCTTTTTGCAAATCTCACATTTGCGCTGGATCGGCCTAGTACTTACTCTAGGATCTCTAGCCAGATTTACTGATGAATTCGGGGAGCTGGGCAATCCTTCAAGTTGATCTAATTTATTAGCAATATTGACTATTGCATAATCAATTTCCATCGGTTCTAGTACTCTGTTATCTTCGACTTCGAGACCCATATCTGCATAATTCCTTAACTCTTCATAATACTTGGCCTTCTCAGTTTTAGGACGAAAATTTCGTTGATAATCATATACTGGAGGATTTGTAATTCGTTGATGTGGTTGAGATTTCGGTTGTTGTACAATTTGCTGGGGTGGTTGAATGGTTTGCTGAGGTGGTTGGAACACGGGTTGTTGAATGATTTGCTGAGGTGGTTGAAATGTAGGATGTTGTATGATTTGCTGAGGAGGTTGGAATGTAGGCTGTTGAACGATTTGCTGAGACGGTTGAAATGTCGTTCCATTCATATTATTCGCACTTCCATAGTTAAATAAAGAAGGTCTACGCTCCAACCACATATTCTTGAGATTAGTAAAGAATGCATCAATGTCCGTAGGTTGCGCAACTTTCATTCGAGTGAAAAGTTCATCAGGTAAATGATTCATAAGGAATGACAAGGCATTAGCGTCATTATTAGGTACTCCTAGTAAAAATGGTCGAATCCTATTCTCATACGTTTCTGGGTTATCAGTAGGTTTGAATAATTCGAACGCTAATCTCTGAATTGCAACTTGTTGAGTCCCAACCATTAATAGCTGATATTGATACCTGATCCAATCTCTGAATCGTGCTGGAGTATCAATATTTGTTCCATTTGGATATTGCGCAGGAACTGGTAGATATTTTCCTCCCATTTGCGATTTATAAATATCTGCCTTGTGAGCATCTGTAAAAGTGTTTGCATTGGCATCATTAGCATCAGTGATAAGTGTATCGGCATAAGAAATTGCTTGAGCAACCCTGTTGCAATAATCGTCCGGTGGTTCCTGGCCTATATAGACTGGAATTTGGGCAAGTTTCGGTGCAATAGTTAGATAGATATGTTGTCTTGATGCCTGAGCCATATCTTGTAGATTATTCTGAAGCGTTAAAATTTGCTGATTTAAATTTATTATTCTTAGCCGGGAATCCTTTTCTTTATTTTCCCACTTTTTATGCTTCGCTTTTTGCTTGAGATGCTTACCCTTCCTTTTTACGTGCTTTCTACGCCAATTTTGCAAGTCGATTTGGCATGTTTGTAATTGTCCCATCTGGAAATTGTACGCCTGGTTAATAAGATCAAAATTATTATTTGTATTAGTCAACTGACCTTGTAATTGAGTTAACTGATTGGTTAAATTACCGATTTGTTGATAATAGACCTGTGATTGGGTATTTTCCCACTCAGCTATATCTCGAAGCCTAGTAACAGCATTTTTAATATCGGTAAATTCCTTTTCTATAGTAGATCGTGGGATAGCAGGTGTTCTCCGTAATATAACATCAATATTCCTGAATGCATTTCGAACAGATTCAGATGTGGTCTGGTATTCATTGGGTCCTGGCGCTTGAATTGTTTGAGCCATTACAGGTTTATTATACTTCCGAGATGTAATTTTTCGGATTCTATTTTT